AATTTGTTACGAGTACAGGCGACAGTATGGGAATGCTGAAGGTAGGTGGCACGACTGGGCTCCTCACGGGGTACACACGTCGAGTGCAAAATTAATTAGTTCGTTCAAGTTTGGTACGACTTGTACGACTCTGACGCCAACTTTCGGGGCCCAAACTCGAAGTGGAGTAGTTTAGTAGGGTCAGATGATCCTTCTAATCTACTCTACTACAAATTTAGGCCCCAATGATAGGCGCTAAATTCGTTCCAATCGTTACGATTTCGCCGCGCAATTGGCCGCGCGCGCCCTAGGACGCACGTAGTGTCACATACCCGTACAGGCGGCAGCTTCATGACTGATGGTAGTATACAGAAAGTGTCTGAACTGGACAGGGAAGGGGAATTATAGGAAGTTGAGGGAGCATACGTGCAATAAGCTTTACCTGAGTAAAAAACGCTGTCAAGTTGGAATCAGTGGGGAATGGACCACATTCCATGCGCACCCAGGACTCGAGCTGAACTTTGCTCATGCTTGCATGAGTTTGTTGGTGTGTGTGTGTTTCACTGGAAATCAATAATTGCTGCTTTCCTTGATCAGACGTCCAAGTTCAGAAGAATGGGGTATGCGGGTCATTTTAGGGGCGAAATTTTGATTTCGTCTGAAAACTATTACATTAAGAGTTTTCCTTTTTCAAAGAGTGGGGTTAGGTGCCCTGATACACTAAGTTGATAACGTGATGAACCTAGAATATTTGCCACATTGCCCGATGAGTGATTTGTGCTCACTGCAATTTTTCCCGAGATGATGGGCAGTTCCCATGGAACCCTGACTCCTCTACGGCGGCAACGAAGGTGTCTTCCTTTCAGGCTCTCAACTTCACTGGATCGCTGGAGTGCATATGGTTATTGGAAGTTCCACATGATTACAGCATCGTGCTTTATATCAATGAATTCTCGCTTTACGCTCCAAATCACTGTGACCTGAACTTCCTTGAAGTATACTCAGGGACCACTTCGGACAGGCCTTTGAAGAGGTGATTTTGAGCTGTCACAGAAAATAAGGGACTAAGTATAAAAAAGGATGACTCAGATTCCTTCTGGCCAGAAAGAACATTGTCAGCAAACATGAGGGACTGAGATTACCTAAAAAGACAACCAATCTATTGCAGATACTGTGGGATGACGGCTGCCCATGTGTTTTCGTCGCATTACCTGATGTACATCCGCTTCTACCTACACGACGCAAATCAAATCCGCAATACCTCCATTTCCGCTTTGTATTCGTCGTTCGTGAGAAGTTTGTTGTTGGCGTTCCTTGCACATACAGCACGTCCGGTTAGCTCCTCTTACATTTCAGTGAAAAACTGTTCATCCAAGCAGCTGCTAACATGCGGTGATGAGAATTGTGTGCCTCAGCAGTTGGCATGCAATGGCCGCGTCAATTGCCCCTATGGTACCGATGAAATGAATTGTCATGTTGGTGAGTTACATATGACTTTGTTACAATCCGGTGCAAAAGGACAGCACTCTAAAGCCCTCATCTCGGCCCACTCACGTCACGTCCAACCGTAGGCCCATCGAGCCATCGTCATGGCAAGTGACTGCAGTGCAGCTTCCTTTCGCCCGCAGTTGACCTGTCCCCTATCAAATCATGGGAGAGACGTTCCCTTGCCGAAGAGCTCTCACTTTCAGTTGAACACGTCCTTCAAAGTGGGTATTGGCGTGAGGCCGAAGTATGTGATTAACCAGGAGGCTACAAGAATTACCACAGAAGCCAATTGTTGTAGTTTCCATTCCATTGTATGGCAGTAGTGTTCCGAAGGATTTTATTACGAGTGAAGCATGATAGCAATAAGGTTTGATCCCTCGCCCTCGCGCTGTACATTTCCCACCACAAACCAGAGCGTTCTGTACTCGCCACCCTTTCCCTATGCTCACTCCATACGTCATATGCAATGGTGAGGGGTGACTCAACTTATCCCCGATTTCCCACGTCCACTTTGCAGTATGCGGCAGACCTTTTCTAGTTGTCCCGCATCTTCAAACTGCAACCACCGTACTCCTCCCGCTTCCACTCCAATCGATAGAACGCAATATTTTTCGTTGACTGTCTTTCTTTTTTTGATTGTTTGATTGGTTTTCTGTTTCTTTTTCGTTTTCATGTTAATTAGACTCACTTTTTCGAATGACATCTCCTACATATGTTATCGACGATCAAGACCGCATTGGAATTGAAGGGAGCCGCCAGCAAATTTAAGTAATTAAGGGACTCCCTAACTAACAAATTGCGCGCTCCAATTTTCATCCTTTCTGCGATACGTGGCGGATGCAGTTTCGGGGAGAAGGGCGAACGTCCGCTGCGCGCGTCCGTTGAAAGCAGGTCACCCCACTTCGCGCGCGGCGTACTCCACTGAGGTCTCGAGATGACATTACAGTACCAATAAGTGTGAGTGGAGCGAATGATTTGCATTTGTCCGTGTTATCTTCTCATTGTCTGACTGCCGTGGACCAAGCGCCAACCGTATGCCCCACTGACAACTGCGACGTCTGTCAAGTATCGCGGGCTGACCCGCCGCATGCGACGGCTGCGGCGTGACCTAGTTAAGACGGACGCGCGCAACGAGGCGCACCCGGGGAGAAGATACCGACTCCTGATGAATATACAATGAATGCATCGGGTAAAAACTGTGATTGCATTAGAAAGGGCATCAGAAAGGATAGGCTTTTCATTTCTGAAGTGATCGGTTTTTCTGCTATTCTTCCCTTTACATTTAGGGATGCATAGAGAACCTCAGCCGTTGGATAAGGTCTCTCAAAGGCAAATAGAATGAATGGATGATTAGTTGAGATATTGAATTTATATCAGTTCCCCTCACCTACCGTTGTTTCTAGCATCTAGCGAACTCATCGTGGTTGCTGTTGTTAAGTTTGGCTACACTCCTCAATTTTTCTCTTTTCAGCTCAAGACTTCATCTTGCAATTCATTTCCAAATCGTACAGTCCTCTTATTTTGCTCATACTTCTTGTATCTTCTGCCGTGCTTGGACTCTTCCTTTGGCATTATTCTCCGAGTAACTGCTGTCAACGCAGCAAACTCAGGTACTTACTTTCAGTTTCCAGAGTTGTTCCGCAAAAAAATCCGAATGGTTTCAGTTATGTCCACCGCTTACCTGATGCTGAGCGGCAAAACGGAATCATCATTACAACAGTTCGGAACGGTGAACGGATGATGCCTATGAGATAGAACTTCATTTCTCCCAGAAGGTGGCAGATTGGACTATGTTTGCCAATTCCTTGAAGCTTTCGCTAGACACAATTGACATATCTGATAATTTCGCCTCGTGTTGGACGCTACATGGAGTGCCAGTTACGGTAGCTGACCGTTGTGAAGCTTACCCCTTGTCTGTGAGAGTATAATGTCTATTATAGATACAGATTACTATGACATAGTTACGTATAATATAAAAATTTATCTGTAACAGTTGATCGTTTTGTGTACTGCTAAACTGCAATCGTCAACAGTTTCTTGTCTTCCACCTTACTGCAACGTCTGCAATATGTACTCCTAACAAGCGCTGCACATTAACCTTCAAGAAGTGAGCCTTGGAGCACTTCCAAGTTCGGTCTTCTTAAAACCTGGCATTTTTCATAATGTTTAATACTGCTTTGCAGTACAGTTCGTCATGGCTGAACCGCTTTAACGACGTTTCGACTGTATCTTCAGGTCTTCAGGACCTGAGGATAATTCAAAGCTCTTGATCTGTGACTTACACGACCATGCGCCCAAACGTGCTAGGCTAGTTCATTTCCTTTTGTGGGATTCGAGATCACCCGCATAATTCTTATCTTGCGATTATCAATGGTGTCTCAGTGATCCCTTGTTGTTCACACAGAGTGGGACGTAACGCTGGTAGAACCGCAGGGGGTTGGTCTTTTTGCTGGGAACATTTCCATGTTTTAGTTTCCGGGAGTCGTTGCAACAAGCCTACGCGTTTGGGCGCTTGGTCGGATAAATCACAGATCAGGAGCTTCGAACTATTTTCAGGTCCTGAAGACAACGATTCAGTCGAAACGTTGAGTAATAAAGCGGTTCAGCCATAACAAACCTGTACGGCAAAGCAGTCTTAAATCTTGGAGCACTCTTAATGGCACGCCCACGATAATTTTGAAGTACCTTTGCAATATGAAAAGCGGATGTATTGGTGGCGAGCGCATAAGTGGCAAAGAAAGGGAGAAAATCCGTCAACTTCGCGAAAAAGAAGGCTTTCTTTAAGTAGTGAAACAGGGGTTGTACAAGATTAACATGGCAAAAATGTTACGGAAGGGGTATGTGAACGAGATTTCAGTTGTTGTAATAGCGCAAAGAGTTGGTTACATCAAGTGAGATCTCCAGAACTGCACTTCCACTGTCGCCATGGGTCGTGGCAAGTTGTTTAAACTTCCTACATTGATGTACCTTATGTACATACGGCGTTTAGGGATTGACCTTGGCTGATATCGAGGATAGTCGCTTAATCTATCGTAACGATTCGGCGTATAATTCGAAAAGTCGATACCTTGCCACCAACACGATCACACGATAAAATAAGACCACTTTATTGCGACTTGGGAAACACCTCAAACTTGGGCAATTAAACCGATAAAGAAGCTTTCATTGCTTGTGAGATATAAATCAGGAAGTGAGATGTATGCACAATGCGACGATCGAGGGTTTGGCGCTTATATGTACAACGAGGGTTTGGCGCTTATATGTACACGGGCGCTTATATGTACAACGTGCAGCTGGTGTTATTCTCCAGCATACCAGTGAAGAGCACAGCTGAGCGGTCCTCTACGACATTCTTCTGATTCTATTAGAGACTTTTCTGTGTTGAAGAAGATTGCAACTGTTCCATAATAAGAGTGATTTCAGTTACATATATGTATATAATTACACTTTTTTCTTGCCACACCCGAATCTAACGACTAGCGGATTGCCGCGACACGGTGCATGCTCTACGGTGCTGTTAAAACCCGTCCGCCTTTGGTGGGCATGCAACCAATACAATTTTTGAGCCTTTATAACGCCCTGGCTAGGCCCTTTTCCGACCTGACAGCGCCATTTATGGTATGCGAGGTGGCCTTACCATTAGATTTATACTAGAGAGATATCTCAAGAGCCTTTTTCATTGCGAACTGTTCCTTTGAAGCAGGTCCAGGGTGAAACTATTACAAATTAATGCAGCAGGAAGGGGTCGTCAGAGTAGAGTTTCCGCCACGCATGTTTGTAGATTTGAGCAGGTTTGTCTCATATTTATAATAATCGTTCGAGATAAAATTATCGTAGGCATTACGCCCTTTATCAGTATTCACTATGTAGATCACTATTCTGTTTGTAAATGGGTGGCTTTCATTGCTTTTGAAGACTGAATCGCAGGCACTATCTCGGAGCGTTAAGTGTATCTCTCTCAAATCAAGTGACACCCACACCTTGCTTTTTTACTAAGCTAAATTCTTCGATATTTTCGTCAAGTTCTCCCATGGATGCATTGGGGTGTTCTCAGTAAGTTTCACATGGGTGACATAAAGCTCGGCTTCGCCAAAGTCAAAAAGATCATCATCCATACCTGCTGGTCAGCCCACTTTAAAGTATAAATTGCTCGAACGAAGAGTTGTGGACTACTGTTCACATGTGCCCTGTAATGAAGTCTGTTTCTATCGAGGACAACAACAACAGCTTTCTAGTCAAAAAAGATGTAACAGAGTGTGAAATGTGTCAAAAATCCTCTACGTGACGGGTCTGCCTAATAAGCTAATATTTCCATCACCGGATCACCGCAATTTACTGTATAGGACACATACGCATTCAATACGCCACAATTGCATTGTTAGAATTGCTCTTTTTGTAATAGCATATATAACAACTAGTAAGCAAGGAAGGCATCCCATGCAAGTTCTTATGCCAGTGCTAACACGAAGACGAAAGGCACGAAAACCTAGAAAGAATTAGGGAAAGAAGAATTGGATTTATTGGCACTTTATAGGAAAGATAGGTGTCATCTGCACATTACAAGTAACTGAATGAGCACCATTAATTTTACACCTTTAGAAAGAGCGTTGAATCACGACGGCGACATCATAGACTATGATACCCTATGGCCGGACTTCAAGTTGCAAGAAGGTGAAGAGGAACGGAGGAGTAGGGTGAAAGCAAGTGCATCACCAGCATGAATGTTCTATCATGAGGCATACTGCTTTGTACATTGTGAAAAGATAGATATAAAAACAGCTCTACTGGTCCTTATTGTAACATCGGCCCTATATGTCACGATGTGTTCACTTCTTCTGCCACGCAGATGGCACCGATTTGTCATTCGGCTTTGAAGATAGGATGGCTCCATTCAGACTTTCCCGTTTTCTTCAGAGATTCGGGAAAACTCACAGTACTTGACCTTGAAGCTATCCGAGTGGACGTAATTTTCCCTCTAGTATTTCAGGTATCATATAATGAAAGGCGGACTGAGTGAAACACAGTCCAGAGGAGGTTCTACCAACCGGAGAGCATCGATGAGATGAGTTGGTCAGCTCACTCG